TTGGCTACAGGCCGCGAAGTCGTCTAAACCCTGGGCCTGGATTATTTCATTTCAGCTTTACAGCCCTACAAGCTAAATGTCATCACCGGCCCTAGGAAGTCCAGTCACTGCTGAGCGGCCCAAAGTTTCCCAGGTGGCAGCTGATGGAGCCAAGATTCAAACCGGGCCATTGTCACACCAATGCCCGCCTGTGCTGGAAGCTCTGTGCTCCGTGCCCCTACAGATGTCCCTGCACGCCTATTCTTTCTCTCCCACCCCGCTGCAAGCTCCCAGTGGAACCAGCCCATACCCGGACCTCTCTTGATGCGATGCACACGCGGCAGGTGCCCAACAGCTGTTTGTTGGCCACGGGCTGGGTTCCAGAAAGGAGAGGAGGGGGTGGCAAGCTCCATCAAAAACAGGAGCCAATTCTCCACCCCCAGCACAGCCCAGCTCCCTGGCTACTGCCCAAGGCCCGGCCGTCATCTGCTCTGGGTAATAAGTATTTGTATGGCGATAATTACAGCATTTGGGAAGAAAATCCCATTAAGCAAGAGCCCTGCCGAGCTGCTAATGCCGGCACAGAACTGGAGGCGGCAACTCCGCCAAACGCCCGCCCGTCTGCTCCCGATAACGGATAACGCATAACGCGGGGGCTGCCGGTCCCCACCGCCCCACACGGGGCCCCAAGAGAGCATGGACGCACTCCCCGCCCCCACCCCTGCTTAGAGCCTCAGACTGCATGGGCCAGCTCCTGGCGTTGTGAAGGGGTACGGAGGAAGGACAGCCTCCTCATAGTCCGGTGTGATGCAGGGCTCCTAGCCACTGCTTGGTGAGAGAGCGCGATAGGAACTGCCAGGATCCGGCACTGAGTGGTCTCAGAATTCTTTTATGTCCCTGCAGCGCTCAGTTACCTTAATAGCAATGATTATCTCCCCATTTGTTGGGCACTTGCTACCTGCCAGGCCCTGTGAAGCATACAGCATCTTTCTGCCTGTTACTGAGTTCAATACTCAGGCCCAGCCTTTGAAGCAAGTCCTGTCATCACAACCCCACCACCACCACTTCACGGGTAAAAAGCAGGGATTTGAGGGAGTGCTCTCCCTCCTAAGCACTCATCTCGGTTTGCAATTATGTGTTTGTTCTCCTGTCAGGCGGTTCTTCTCCCTCCTGGGCAGGACAGGAATTTGGGGAGAGGCAGTTTCTCCACTCAAGGCAGAGAGAGCTCAGTAGACGGCAGCTATCTGTTGAATGAGGGAATGCAACCCGGCAGGATGCCCCAGCTGCCAAGAGGCAGAGCAAGCCTAACAGAACGCCAGACAGGCGACACCAGAGCAGTGGCATCACCCGCTGCCCGGTGGAGACCCTTCTTTCTCCCTGTATCCAAATTGCAGGGGGGCAGAGGAAAAGAAGCACAGGTACAACGACCACATGCTCTGGGCAACAGGAGCCCAGGAGAGCAGCCTGCAGCATGGCCAAGCCTCAGCAAATACCCCCCAAGCCCCCTGAACACCCCAGCCTTTAGCATGGGCTTCTCACAGTATTAGCAACCCAACGTCAGAATTATGAAACATTTTCATAAACGCAGCATGAATAAGTCTCCTGTTGGGGTCTGATAGATAGGTGGTATTACTCCCACAGGTCAAGGGGAAGTTAGAGCACCAGCCACATGCCGCTGGACCCCAGCATATTTCCTGCCAAGCTGTCATTACCCCCTTTATATGTGGGAAACAGGGTCTCGGGCAGGGGAAGGACGGCCACTGGGTCTCTGTATGAGCTGTTCACTCAGTGCCCAGCAGCGAGCTCAGCATAGCGGCTACCGTACCAGTGCCTGTGAGAGCAGGAGATTCACCCTGACCGGGGCCAACTCCCCTGCTCAGCGCACTTCTCTGCTCACCCAGCCAAGCCTTGATGACAGAAACAGTTTCAGCCCTGGCCTCAATTCCATCATTATACGGATTCCAAACGGGCTCCCCAAACCATGAATGTGACCATCCAGCCCTACTGAGTGTAGCTTCAAGGGTCCAAACGAGCCATGGACCTTGGCAGCATGCATACATGCATCTACATGCATCTAGGGAGGCGTAGACCAACCAGCAAAAGGGCTCAGGAACATAGACAATTGCAAAAAAGCAAGTCTCACAGCCTGACAAGAGACAGGATATGATAGACCTGGGTGCAGATGGCTATCGGCATCCTAACCTTCCGGGGGCCTGCCCTACCTGTCTCCATCCTTCGCTGACCGAATGAAAGGTCTGGGAGATGTCTTTCTATCTCTGCACCCAGAGGGGACTCAGTGACAAACCTAAAATACAAGCGCCAGGGTGCTAGGGCAGAGAAGTGTCCACACAAACTAAATCTGCTTGTCACACTCCCGGACACTTTAGTGCAAACCATTGTTGAAATTAAGAAAAAAAAAAAAAAAGTCACTTGAAAATGAAGAACCTTGAGGGGAAAGGGGAAAATCCTATAAAGACATGACTTTTCCAGGGCCTTGCCAGCAGTCTCCTCCTCTTCGCTGTAGCTGTTCCATTACAGTGAATTATTTAGCATCTCTTCCCGATCCATCCACCCAGCCCTTGGCCTCTGTGCCTAGACCGATTTCCTTAGCAGTGCCAGCCTTATACAAGCTCTTCCGGGAAGTGTCCGCAGAAAACCATGGCAATTTCTTCCCACTTGGGAGAACAAGTCTGAATCCAGCGCAGAGTATACGGGCTGCCGTGGTCCCTGGGCTACCACCGAAGATGCCCAGAGGACAGAAGACAAGCACACAGCCTGCAGCAATTTCCCAACCTGGGGAGCGGCTGGCCAGTCTCTAACCAGCACACCTTTCCAGCTCCCCCATGATGCTCACCCCAGACTCCCAGCCAGACATCCCCAAGGGAATGTGAAGCTGGAAGAAGGCCTTCCTGGCCCTTCCCTATCTCTGGGAACCCCAGGCTCCTCTCACCTCTGGACACAGTATGATTCAGCCCCGGAGAAAATCTGACCTGCTGGCCACCGGGCCAAGCCACTCTGTCGCAGTCTTTGTGTTCAGGCAGTCCCTCCCGCTTGTGTTGCCTGCACTTTGCTTGGCAAAACCCACCAACTCTAACAACACACTCCACCTTTTGAGAAGCCCCCTCACCCCCAAAAAGGGCTTCTTGGTCTAATGCTCTCACAGCTCCATCGCATGGCTATCCTGGTCCCTACACACATCTTTTAGGTAAAGATCCCCTGTCCCTTCACACCACCTGCCCTTTGAAGGCAGAGGCAGGCTCAGTCTGTTGAGGTCTCAGCACCCAGGGTGCACACTGGGTTAGATGCATGTGACCTGTCTCCCTGTGCTGCCACAATAGCCCCTTACTCAGTGAGTATCAGAGCCCCTGCTTCTTCCAAACGTTACCCTCCAGCCTCACAAGAACCCACGTAGCCCAAACTCCATTTCCTGACAGAAAGCAGCTAAAGCTCACAGAAGTCTGGTAACTTGTCCAAAGTCACACAGCCAATAACTCAGAGCTTTTAACCTACCCACAGCTCTGCTCTGTCCCATCTCACTATGGAAGACTAAAGAAACCATGAAAGTCAAAGCAGAGCCTATCCTAAACATTCAAGGTAGCGGGAAACAAGAGCGCAGAAGAATCGAGCTGCCAAGGCAAAGGAGAGGGGCTCGTGTGTCTCACATGTGGGCTGCTGCCAGGGTAACAGCTGCTGAAGAGACATGCCGACAGGTAAATCAGAGGGCAGGAATTTTGTCCAGTTCCCACTAGATTGCACGTAGGTTGGAAATTCTCTGAAACTATCTCAGGAATGTCTCAAATCAAGCCAAGGAGAGTCTGGGACAAGCATGCACTCACTAATTGCTGGTACAGAGGATCAGAGTTTGGTGTTGGTAACAGCTCTTCCCAGGATTTGCCTCTGACCAGCTGGGACTCAAGAAAATATGCTCAAAAGTTATCAAAATATGTATACCTTTTCTTAAGGAGTGGGGAAAGAAAGGAGAAAGCAGCTTCAAAGACGCCAGCAACCTTCCCTACAGTACAAAAAATAAAATAAAAATCTCCCTCCTGGCGTGGTCACCTCTGAGAGTGTACAAAGGCCCTGTGTGTGGCTGAAAATCCACTTGCATGACCCACAGACCCGTGGCCTCACGCCACTGGGGTATCCTTACATGCTGGGATTTCACAGAGACCACAGTCAGCAGGGAAAGAGAAAACACATCATACAGGTCTGCAGACACTCGCTCTACCGTGCTAAGCAGGTCTAGAGAGGGTGGAGTTTCCTCAAAATCCAAAGAGAACAAGGGGAGAGCAATGATGGTTTTTAATGACTTGTCACTGTCAATATTTTCAACCTTGCGTCCCCACTCCAAGCTCCTCACCTCTAGTATCATTTCTGGGCTCCTAGTCCAAGACACATTTAACCCCTACAGGGTGCGGCTCTCACATGCCCCAAAACCCAAACCAAAGGCCCTCGGGTCCCATTGTCTGTCTGTCTGGGCTGGGCTGGGGAACAGAAGGAGAGGATAGGCTACTTACACCTTTAGGAGAAGAATTACCAAAGCTCTGGGGCCAAACAATGGGTAGAATAGGAGCCCAGAAACTTCTGCTCCATGGCACCGAGCAGCGAGTCCTCGGAGCCCAAATCCACCTGTCCACTCAGATCCCAGCCAAGCCCCAAAAGGAGACCCTGTGCCTGGCGTCAGCGGGAAGCTTTTCTCCTGGGTGCCAGGAAGGCTCTCTGGCACCGATTCCCACCCTAGAGGAATAAAGTGCCGCCGTGCAGCGGGAAGGACCTGTCACGGGGCAGAGCGCGAGAGGCAGGTGAGAGGATGGCCCTTAGAATCGGGCACCTGAGGCGGCCGCGCTCCTGGCTTTCTGGCTCCCTACCAGACCTACCAAGGCACTGACCGACTCCTCTACTGGCGACGGAGCCCAACAGTCTTGCGCCCCCCACCCTATCCCCGGCCCTCGGATGCGTCAGGGTAGGAGAGCAACCTGGGGGAGGGGGGCGTCCCAGCGGACGGGCGGAGCCGTACTCACAGGCGCTCGGTGTTCCGCGGGATGTTCTTGGGGATGGCCTGCAAGCCCGTGCCGTGGCAGTCCACGGTGGTGCCGGTGCAGGTGCAGAGGGCGGGGCACGCCGTGGCCCCCAGACGCCACGCGGCTGCCCACAGCAGCAGCCACAGCTCCGGCCGGCTCAACCCCGAGGAGGACCCGCGTTGGGGCGTCAGCGCCATGGTGCCCTCGCCGCGTCCCGCTCGCGTGCCAGACGGCCGCAGCCGCTGACCATCCCCGTCCGGGGCTACCCCCAGGTGCTGTGCCCACCGAGCCACCGACGAGCCGGGGGGGAATCGCGCGCTGCGCTCTCGCGGTCGGAGTGGCACCTAGATGCTCCCAGCGACGGCGTCCGCGCGCGGACCCAGGGAAGGCGCCCGGAGCCGAAGGCGCTCGGCTCTTCTCCGGGTGCTCGCTGCCGGCGTCTCCCTCTCCCTCCCTCCAGCTCCCAACTGACTGCTGCGAGGAGGAAAATGGGCAGGCCCCGCGCGCGCGCACCTCGCGTGCGCGCGCACACACACATACACACTCACACCCGCACGCTCGCTCGCTCACACCCGGCAGTCATCCATCAATCGAAAAGCACACACCCAGGGCCAGACTCCTTCCCGCCCTCCCCCCAGCACGGACCACCGCCCGCCTTCTCCCCGCCACTCCTCTGCAACAGCAGAGGCCCAGCCGCTGGCATACAGTTTCAAAGGTGCAACCTCCAGGCGCCAGGGGCTGCGGGCCGGGGGAGGAGGAGGGGATTACAGGCTGGACCTGCTCTGTGGGCCCTACACACACACACACACACACACACACACACACAACCGACTGCAATCATGTGCACATTTCAACCAGTCACTTCAGCACCCACAGCTGCTGACCAAGAGGAGCAAAGGGATTTTCCTCTCACACCTTCCCTGGGACTTCCCCAAAGGCTGAAGAGGTCACCAGCGCCTACCAACTTCCTTTTGTCAATTATTGGTAAGGTTTCAGGTCCCAGGTGGCCTCTCCACACTGCCTACCCTTGCTCAGCCTGGGTCCTTGAGAGAGTAAGAAAGCCCAGGCCAGGCACTCTTCCCCCTCAACACACACTTTCCCAAATGGCAGCACCCCACTTCTTCTGGAAACAGAAGCCAGCCAGCTGGGACGGCAGGAGCCCTGACTTTGTATTCAGGAAGGGAGGTGTCTTGTAAACAAGCCTCTTTGCTGGTGTGCCAATGGGGAGCAGCCTGCTGGGGGTCTTGGAAATCCAGCAAACATTCTCCAAGCACCCCGGCCTTCTCCACATCTGACAGGTGGAAACAGATGAAAAAGGAGTATTTGGTCCCATCATCAAAAAGTCACAGAGGAGAGAGCCCACAGCCCGTTTAGGAGACAAACGCCCCAGCCACCCGCCACCTGTGTGTGGCCGCAAGGACTTTTTTTCTTATTCTGACATAGCTGGGAATGTGGGTGTGAATAGGAAATCCAGTGAGGGACAGAATTCCCTCCAACCCCAGAAAAGGCAAAGCACTTCCCCCCAAACTAAGGACAGCTGTGGCTTGCTGGGGCTCTAAAGAGCCGAGCTCCGGATGTGAGGGAGATCTGGCTGAGACATCTGTCATCCCATTGATCATCAGGCTTGGTCGGGTGACCTGAGTGGTAACGTGGGCGTCCCCTTCCTCCTGCACCACTCCCAAAGCTTTGCACTCAAGAGAATGGCTTTTCCCAATAAAGGATGCCTCTGCCAAGCGTTGCTCTGTTGGAACCTCCACTCAAGCTTTGGAGTTCAGAGTGGGCTAAGCCCCATGACTCAGCCCCGTGTGAGGAAAACACGACTGGGCACAAGGAGGTAGCTGAGATAGTCAAGAATCAAATGCCCCACCCCCACCCCTGCTTAGTGGAGCTGCTGAGGAGCACCCGGGTGGGCGCGCACGCACACACACACACTTGAGGGAAAGAAGAAAGGGGCAGGTCCTGGGAAGCAGAGGCAGAGCCCAGCGTGACAGGAGTCTGTTCCCATCACACCGGTAAGACACTGAAGTCACCACAAGATTAGAGGTATGTGACCCGCCTGGAACCTCTGGTTGGTTGGTTTCCCTCTGGTAAGGATTTTTACAGTTACTTTACCATCATAGAGGGGCACTGTGACCAGAATGTCACACCTAAATGGCTGATTTTTCAAGCGCTGGGTGACTGTTCTGATCACAGTATATGGCCTCCAGCCCAGCTATGGGCATTGGGGAATGATTCAGTAACTCGGGGAGGGAGCTTTCTCAGGGGACCCTTGTGGTGTGATATCAAGAACTTCTACCACCTAGGCCTGAGTGCAAGGGGGCCACTCTCCTCTCTTCCCTAAAAGCATTCTCTGAGGATTCCCCGGCCTCTGGGGCACAAGGAAATCCTCATTCTTCAGTGCCTGAGTTGTTTACTCCTCAGTAGCTGAAGCTGTTCACACTTGTGCTCCTTCCCTGACACCCCAGGAGCAAAGTGCCACCCTAGCCACCCCCTGGCTTCCTCGCTTCCTCCTTTGGCACCCCCCCCAGCATCTGGCACTTAGTAGGCCCATCACAGACAGCACGCAAACCGTTGAAGAAGCCTCCAACCTTCTGCTCCACGAGGTGTTCCACTCTCTCAATCCTATAATCTCCTGGAAGCCAGGACCCATGTGGAGAAGGGGAGACTGTTGATTAGCTGGGTGACATGATCTGAAGTCCTCAGAGTGGTATAGGGAGGAGGGGCATGGGGAGGGGTGAGAGTCAGTACGAAGGGTGCAAGATCGACTTTGCTTATAGCTCTTGAAAGCTAGTCCCTGCACTAGAAGCTTCCAGACTAGCCTGGCCAGTGAGTTCCAAGCAGGCCCTAAGCCAAGTTGTCAACGCCTGGCAAGGCTTGGCCCCTCCTTTGAAGGGAGGGAAGGAAGGAGGGCAACTCAGACCCAGGACAAAGACTCCCCCACCAGCCCATCATGGGAGGCCCTGCCCCAGGAGCCAAGCAGCTCCCCAAGTTGGCTCCCATCCCCAGTTCCTCCACCTCAGAGCCTGGTGGGTTCCCCAATCCTAGAGGCAGCTTACCATGAATGAGCACAGCTCATTAGCGCTCCGGGCACATTTACTCATTAAACAACCCCTTGGCTAGCCACACATCCTAAGCTGCCCCCCTTACTTTGCTTTTTCAATTTCCTCTCCTATGCCCCTCCCTCTGGGGGTCTCCCCACCCCCTCCCAGGCCACCTGCTCCCTCTGCAAGGGTTGGGGGGAGCTGGCCTGGCACGCTGCTTCTGGCAGGCATACTCCACCAAGCCAGCTCTGCCTGCTGTCCACTAGCAGGCAACCCCCCGTAGGAGAACACAGGGTCACATCTCCCCACCCTAGTGGGATGAGCCGTGCGCGTGTGCTGAGGCCCCTCAGCCATGTGTCTGCCAGTTGAGGGCCATTTGCCTTCCAGGTAACTTTTGAGAGAAGGCGCCTTCCCTCCAGCTTTTGAACAAGGGTCCCTCCTCCCCCAGCCACTTTGAGGGGAGAACCCAAACAGAAAAAACAACAACAGCAAAAAAGTGACAGCACTTCTGCTGCCCAGGCTTCCATCATCACTGTTTGCTGAATATTGATGATCCCAACAGCCCTGGAGCTGGATCGTTCATCAGAGAATAGAATAAGCCTGGTTCTCTGGGAGCCACAGTCAGAAAGGAACAGGGGAGAGAAAAGCCTGAGTGTGGTAAGCTTGGAGGAGGGGAGCCTGCGCTGCAGAGGACCACAGGGATAGGCACAGAGACCTGAAGGCTCCCCACAGGGCAAGGCACTGCAGAAGATCTCGGAGAACAAGGAGACATTGGTTGGACAGCAATACAATGGGATTGGCCTCTCGGCAAGCAAGGCCGCAGCAGACAAAACAGCAGCAAAGGGACAGACAGCTCCTTCACAGCGGTTTCCAGTGGTTCCTCTTCTCCTTGCTGTGAGGAGATACCTGACCAGGGCAACTTAAGGAAGGAAGTAGGCAGGACACGGTGGTCGATGTTTTCAATCGGGTACTCCAGAATCAAAAGCGGGCAAATCAAGACCGGATCTCCATAGCAAGTTATAGGTCAGCCAGGGCTATGGGGTGAGACCCTGTTAGAAAAGGTAGAAGGAAAGGAGAGAAATAAGGGTTTGCTTTGGCTCACAGATGGAGGGAACAGACTGCCACGGGCCAGGCATGGTGGCAGCTTGAGGAACTGATCCCGTCCTGTCAGCGATGAAGAAGCTGACAGATCAGTGCTGGCCTTCTGCTTGCTCTCTCAGTCTGGGACCACGGCCCAGGGAACTGGTGCTGACCATTCTCAGGGAGAACTTTCCATCCTCAAACCTCTCTGGAAACATCTTCACAGCCATGCCCAGAGGTTTGTCTTCAAGGTGGTTCTAAGTCCTGTCAGGTTGCTATGACTGACACCTCAGGGAATGCTGAAGAGATGAGTCACATCCCAGAGGCCTGGGTACAGCCATTCTCTGGGTCTGTGCAGCTCTGTGTCACCTGGCCTGTTCTCATGCTCGAACACACATTTCCACTGTCTCTGGAACTTGTTTGCTTTTAGGGAAGGGACCCAGGCAGCAACAGGAGGATGATGTTCACACACTTACTTCCTACTCTTTGGAGAGTTTACCCTGTATAGTGTGATCTAACTACCATCACACAGGTGCTTTTCGAAATTCCTGGGACCTAACCCAGGCCTTCCTCAGAGCCTCAGCTTGGAACAGAGAAAGGCAGTACAGCTAGCTAGTTCTGCCGTGTGAGTTTCCAGAGACTGGTCTAAGAGTCAAGGTCTGGTGTGCTGAGGAAAGGCGTTTGAACAATGTTGTGGTTTGAATAGGAATGGCTCCCATTCCTATTTTGAATGTTTGACCCACAAAGAGTAGCACTATTAGGAGGTGTGACCTTGCTGGAGTAGGTAATGGTCTTGCTGGAGGAAGGTGTGTGATTGGGCAGATCCAGCTTGAGGTCTCAGACACTTAAGCCCAGGCTCAGTGCGCACAATTCTTTCTAGCTGTGGATCAAAACGTAGAACTCTCAGCTCCTTCTCTAGCGCCGTGTCTGCCTGCACGCCACCTTCTCGCTGCTGTGGTAACGGACAAAACCTCTTAAAGACTAAGCCAGCCTCATTAAATGTTTTCCTTTATTTCATTGCCATGGCCATGGCGTCTCTTCACAGCAATATACATCCTAAGACAAACATGTACCTGAAAACTCTAGGGCCTCACTGAAGGAAGTAGCCTGGTCCTGACAAAGGATCTGAGACCTGCCTGCCTTCTCCTCTCCGTTAGCGAGAATGAGACATATCATAAGAAGAGAAAGTCCAGAACAGTCCAGAAACTGAT